GAAACCCCGAAATACAACCCAATGCATAACGAACAGTGCGACTGGATAGGCACAGCGTGGCAAGTTCAGTCGGGACACTCAGAACAAACTGGATGGTTAAGACACGCTTCAGTACAGAGTCTGGGGCCCTTTTTTGTGTTTCCATAGTTCCCAGGCCACGCGAATACATACTCGCACAGAGAAGGTCCCAGCATGCGCAGATCGCGACCCTGGCACTTACGATCAGGGATAGTCAGGCCCCGCTTGCTAGGGATAGACCTGTCCTGCAATACCCTAACACGTAACATGACTCGTGAAAGTACAAACACGAACACGAAGGCGAGGCATAGAAGCAGCACCTTCTCTGCGACACACGCAAGCGGAACTGCGTGGCAGGAAAAAGAGACCAAGTGGAATCATTGAAACAGCCCTGACTGCTCATCCGCTGGACGGATCAGGCCTGCGGGTCGCCAGTGTCCGCCTTTTCAAAGAGAGGATCCACGGCTACTTCCAACGCGTAGTTCGTGGCGTGATTCAAGGCATGGTCCAATGCAATGTCCAACGTAAGGTCCAGAGCATAGTCCAATCCATCAGGTGGCTCGATGCCCATGATAGCGGCGGTGTGGGCCCACCTGTTACGCGGAACCAGGCAATGCCCATTCTGGTCCCGCGCAACGCCGCCACGATAGTCGGCGCCCGCGGCAGGATCATCGTACAGAAACCCATCCGCTGGAACCCACGAGTTCAGGAGTGGGTTCCTGAGGCTCATGTACAGCGACTCCCACAGAGGGCTGAACCAGCGAAAGATGTAACCATTTGGGAAAATAGAATTGCCCCCATGAGATCGGCAACGCCTGCAAAGTATACCATCACAAAGCACGCGCTGAAGAGGAACATAGTGATCCTCAACCCATTCGGAGTCGGTGACCGAGCCAATGGCTCCATGCCAGACCTGCGTCATGATCAGGTGCATGCCCATGGCATAGAATATGCGACCCGGGGGGCTCTGCCGCCGGTACCAGGTGATGAACGCGATGAGCATAGCGGACGAGTCAACGTTCGCCATGGGAACCCAGCGCGGCATGGGATTCGCGGGCTGGGACATTCGCAGTCAGTGAGAACGATCCTCGGAACGCTCTATAGAACGAGAATCTCTGCCCACCTGGGACACCCGAGCTCTCGATCCGAAAAGGCTGCATCGGCGAGTACCTCTTTTGGGGGACCCATGCTGTGCTATGCCATGCTGTATCACAGTGGCGGGATAGGCCTAGGGCAAGTAACAGTGAAGAGACGACGCGCACATAGGGCTCCCCACTTTTGGGGGACACATGCTTTGCTATGCCATGCTATAGCACAGTGCCGGAATAGGCCTAGGGCAAGTAACAGCGAGAGACGACGCGCGCATAGAGGTCCCAACTTTTTGAAGACCCATGCTATGCTATGCCATGCCACAGCACAGTGGCGGTGTAGGCCTGGGGCAAGTAACAGTACCAGACAACGCGCACAAAGGGGTCCCCACTTTTTGGGGACCCATGCTGTGCTACGACATGCTATAGCACAGTGGCGGGATAGGCCTAGGACAAATACAATAAAAGACAACACATAGGACTCCCCACTTTTTGGGGACCCATGCTGAGCTATGCTATGCTACAGCACAGTGGCGGGATACGCCTAGGGCAAGTAACAGTAAAAGACAACGCGCACATAGGGGTCCCCACTTTTTGGGGACCCATGCTGTGCTACGCCATGCTATAGCACAGTGGCGGGATAGGCATAGGGCAAGTAACAGTAGAAGACGACGCGCACATAGGAGAGCCCACTTTTCGTCAACAGCATGAGACAACCCTAGGGTGAACAAACCGGAGCTCGTTCAACCACACGCCCTCGATGCCGCAGTCGGACGGGATGATGGCATAGGTGTCCGGGGAGATCGCGGGGACACGCACGTATAGATCGGATACCCGATCACGGTGAATGTCTTCGCTGTACGCGAGCACCTCAACATACTGCCCAGACCGGAATACCGCATAGTGCAGATGCAGCATTTGAGTAGATAGACATGTACCCAAGATGATGGTATGCACGAGCGCCAGAATAGCTCGTCAAGAAATCGTGCGGCGTCCCATAGCACTGGTAAACGTCCATGACATCATGGTGGTGGATACTCACGTACATAATAGTACCCCACCCATGCCAGGCCTCTGTAGGCACTTCGATAGGCTCGTGCCGATCGGCGACCCTCGTCAGGAGAGAGTAACAATAGGCTAGCGAGGCCGTGGGCCGCGGCAAGAACAGCGCGATCGTGTGGTAGCCGGCCATCCGCTGTCTTCCAATAGAATTGGAAGGACGAGGATCGGTTATGAGCACGCGATAGCTCCTGCTGAACCAAAAATGGCTGAACGAACATCATAGGTTTGACCGCTCCCTCTGCCGGAACATGTGCACAGAACAGCATTGACAAGAAGAACATATAATGACAAACGATGAGGCGGAGATGAGTGGGGAGGTAGACAGACAGACAATCGAGACACACCCGAGAGAACTGTTAAACTTGAACACCCGTGTGCCCCATACAAGCGAAACGGGTCGGGCAGACGGAACCTAACGAGCGCGTCGGATCGGGTCGGGCGTTGGCACGCGAGTACCCTAACGGACGGGACGGGTCGGGCAGGCAAAACGGACGGGACGGGTCGGGTCGGGCGAAAGAGATTCTGCACGCATGCGCAGCAAATTCTATTTTTTATAGATGGATCGGCTCGCAACAGGGGCCGGGCACTTTGTATTGTAAAATACTAGAGATTCTGCACGCGTGCGCAGCAAGTGTTATTTTTTGCAGTAGATGGAGCCGGTTTACATAACGGGGTCGCAACGGGGACCGGGCATTTTGTATGGTAAAATACACGAGATGCTGCACGCATGCTCAGGAAATGCTATTTTTGCAGTAGATGGAGCCGGGTCGCAACGGGGACCGGGCACTTTGTATAGTAAAGTACAAGAGTTTCTGCACGCATGTGCAGCAGATGCTATTTTTTGCAATAGATGGAACCGGTTTGCATAACGAGCGGTTTTGTAGTAGTCTGGGTTTAATAATTATAGGGTTTGAAATTTAGGGTTTAGGGTTTAGGGTCTACTAGGCGTGGCCACGAGCACACCGTGACCGCGAACCCACCTGCGGTGGCCGTCGCTCCCACCCGCAAGCCACCCCACCATAAAGATTATCTCTCCCCTTGGTAGAACCACGTCGACGACAACGATGACGACGACGACGACGGCGGCGAGTGATGTGCGATCCAGATGGCACGCGAGTGCTCCAACGGGCGGGAAGAGTCGGGTCGGGCTGGAGAGATTCTGCACGGATGCGCAGCAAATGCGACGTTGTGGAATAGATGGATCGGGTTGCAACGGGGCCTGGGCACTGTGTAATGTAAAAGAAAGAAGATTCAGCACGCATGCTCAGCAAATGCTATTTTGTGCAGTACATGGAACCGGTGAACATAACGGGGTCGCACTTTGTATTTTAAAATACACGAGATTCTGCACGCATGCTCAGGAAATGTTATTTTTTGCAGTAGATGGAGCGGGGTCGCCACGGGGACGAGGCACTTTGTACGGTAAAATACATGAGATTCTACGCGCATGCGCAGGAACTGCGGCACTTTGTAGTTTAAAATACAGGAGAGCGCATGCGCAGAACATTTTTTTTACAGTAGATGGAGCCGGTTTACATAACCGGGTCGCAAACGGGGGCTGGGTACAAGATACGGATGGTCAATTAGGGTTTAATAGTTATAGGATTAGAGACTTAGGGTTTAGGGAGGAAGCTCCACCGAAGGCGCCAGTTGCAGGGTACGCATGGCGGCCTCGGGCCATCTCGGCTCACCCCTCACGAGGGCGTTTCGTGGCCCCGTGGGAAGCTCCACCGAGGGCGCCAGTGGCAGGGTCACCCAGGACAGCGCTTCGTGGCCCCACAGGGAGCTCCACCGAAGGCTCCAGTGGCATTGGCCGCATGCGTCAAAGCCACCCAGGACAGCGCTTCGTGGCCCCATGGGGAGCTCCACCGAAGTCTCCAGTGGCACAGGCCGCATGCGTCAACGCCACCCAGGGCAGCGCTTCGTGGCCCCATAGGGAGCTTCACCGAAGCCAGTACCCACAATTCGGTATTCGCAACTGCAAATGGTTGGGTCCTTCGTCAAGCTAATTACAGTGCTTTCCCTCCGGGGGCCGCTTTCGGGCCCCAGGACCGTAGAAAACGGATCCAGGATGAAAGCCTGCACTGGATGGACCCCGCGATGGGTCCCGGGATCGATGTTGACCGGATTTGACTTCATCCCCGTCCCCCCTCCAGACCAGCTTTCTGAGATCCCGCCCAGTTCAGACCCCCCGTCCGCCTCCAACCAGGACACACCCTCTCTCTTCACTCCCTGCGTTGCGAGCATCCGCCCCCCTTCCATCCAGGGCCCGTGTCGATCCGAACGATCTGGTTCGATATCGGCTGTGGCCGGTTCGACATCCGACTCGATTCCTGTGTTCCGACGACCAGCGCGGCCCGGTGCCCGCGCGGCGTTGTGCATCCTGGCGCAGCCGGCTCGATGCGAGTCCGACGACGCCAGGCCCCCGTAGACCAGGACACAGACTAACCAAGACATTGGCAAGTCGGGGAAGCGACACCCTTTCCTGCAAAGTCAGATTTGGTCGTCCAGTGCAGGTTTTTGTTGCTGCTGTGCAGGATTCGGGTCTTTGTCCGGGTCTAGGGTGTGTTTTGCCTGCTTTGAGGGCCTGTGTCCGGGTCTATTCCCGAAGTGTTGCAGTGCAGTTTTTCTCTCGTGCCGCCGTCTGAAAAGAATCGACTCGAGGGATTTAGGATGTCCTGGTCTAGCGTGTCCGGATTTTAGGTGTCCAGCGGGTGGTGTGCGTCGGATCGGAGGGCGTCGGCACGTCGGACGTGCCGGCGCACGCACGTTCCGATTCGATCTGACGCCCCTGCTTCGATGCTGACCACCGGTCCTGCCCTCCGCCGGCAGGAGCCCGAGCCCCACCCCGAGTGGCACGCCCGGGAGCAGCAGCTGAACCGCCTCCGTGCCCAGCTCTCGGAGCGGAAGGGCGCGCTGGAACACGAGCGGCGCTTGCGCGAGGATTGGGCGCTCCCCGCGCCGCCCCCAGCGCGGCGCCGTCGACAGTCGGCGGCCCTCGGCCGCCCTCGGCCGCCCTCGGCGGCCTTCGGCCGCCGTCCGCGGCCTTCAGCCGCCCAGCCTTCGGCGGCCATCGGAGGCCTTCGACGGCGGGCGGGGGGCCGTGGACTGCTGGGCGCGGCGGGGCCGGCGCTCGCCGCAGCTCGGCGTCGGGCACTCGGCGTCGGCCGTGAAGGTCGGGCTCTTGTTTTCCTAGAACACTCTTTTCCTCCCAGCTCTCCTGCCACTACCATGATTACTACCACGACCACCGCCACTACTATGACTACTACGACTACTACTACTACTACTACTACTACTACTACTACTACTACTACTACTACTACTACTACTACAACTACTACTACGACTACTACTACT